CGATAACGAGCATGAAATTTAAAGCAACGCAAAACTGCTAATGATCATGATTGAGGTTCAACAAATTCCACGACCCTAAGGTTGATCTTATCATGTATCTAATGGGGCAACCCGCACAACAAAAGGACCGCCCAAGAGGAAGATACGTGCGTGCCAAAATGAGTTCATCCTCGAAGTTCCGGTTCGCGACAGAGCGTCGACACAAAGCTCGCAACGCATTCTAATGAACTTAGGCAAATTTCTCCGAGTTTCACATGACACTCAACACGACTATAACCTACACCCGTCTCGAGGGCTCACCTTGGGACAACCAATAAGTACCAAAAACATGGATCTAGTGCCTAACAATTTTTGTTAGAATTCGAATGGCAAATCGACATTGACTACTATCATCGCTTTCGACTTAGAGAATAATAGCTTGGCTAGAACTAACAACCTTTAGCGCTTTTGCCGTAATTTTTAATATGTCTAAACCTAATTAATTCCAACTACTACGCATTTCATACACTCGTCCATACGTCATACTGACTCATAAAAACAAAACATCTAGAAACTAATTAACCCATTGTTCAATATAATTCGCCAAAATGACACTTTTAAACATAAGTTAAATTTTAAAATCCGTGAAAATCGTTTTGGTAAATCCTCTTAGGCCTAGACCTCGGTGCTAAGCAAGCTCGTAACACCAAAGGTGTTACACGATGGCACGGCAAGCGGCGGCGTCGCTCCTCCTCCCTCCGACACGCTTCCCCCTCGGCTCGTCTCCTCCTCCCTCCGTCCCGCTTCCACCGACTCGTCTCGTCCTCCCTCGACGGCACGGCAACCGATTGGGAGCACCACGCGGGCTCCGCCCATCCCACTACCCCTGGCCCGCGCCCTCGGTGGTGCGGCTAGGGGTCTCGCTCAGCCCCGCCCCGCAGGCTGGAGCCCACAACAACAACATCTTGACCTATATCTCCAGTCAGGCACCATGGAAGAGCCTTAACTTGTTTCTTCCCTGCTGTAATTTGTAGGCTAAATCACAGTAAATTGGAACTTATTGTTAGAGTGCGCTCGTTTTTCAGCTTGCCAGACAGTGGTCCAAAAACATGGTGGCAAGGTAGAACTTTGTCAACCAAAGTTGTTGACTCATATAGCTTTGGGCTGCTGCAGCTAGTTGATTTCATTGTTGAGCATTGCTTGTGGGGTTCTAAACAGTACATTACCTTGTGGCGTAATTTGGAGAATGATTTTATGGAAATTAAATCTGATGAAAATTTGTTAGAGTGGTTTCTAATCAATGTAGAGAATGGATTAGTATGTATCAATGCTCAGATAGATAATTTTGAGGGGCCACTACAATTTTATCCAATAAAGAGAAGGTTTCACACTACTGTGAGGGCTAGTGTGCTCCTAATTGAGAAAGGCACCAGTGAGCCACAAATGAGAGAGCCACAAATGAAATAGCAACAAACAAAACAGCCACAACCCCATCAAAAAAATAATATCCACCAAAAAAGAGAGCTGCCACTAAAGAAAGTGCTTCTGAGGCTATTGATGCAGAGGTACTAAGTGATAGCAGCTATGACACTGATTTGGCTGCATCATGTAACTCTGATGATGCTTGGTCTGACTCTGACACTGAATTTGATCCTGATGGTGAGATTGTTGATGAGGAAGATGAGTATGATCCTCCTATGTTTTCTTATGATGCTGATAATCCATGTATTGATGTAAATATGGTATTCCCAGATTGGATCAATGCAAGTTAGCAGTCACACATCATGCTATCTTGCATGATCATGCTTTCCATACCTTGCAAAAAGACAAGACAAGATTTAGGGCCATATGCAAGAGAGCTGAACAAGGTTGCAAGTGGACTTTTTTTTTGCATCTATAAGCAAGAAATACATTGGCTGGAAGGTAAATGATGATTATTTGGTTCATTTTGTTGCAAGCATACCTATTCTAACGACTTGTTTTTGTACTTTTTCTGTGTAGGTTAAGACAAGCGGACCAAAGCATACTTGTGGTTCATTCAACAAGTGTGGTCAGGCAATGGCCTCTAATAAATGGGTGGCTGACAGAGTGGTCGATTTGTTGATGGAAGACCCAGAAATAGGACCGGGTGCGTTGAAGGATAGACTGAAGAAGAAATACTCGGTGGATGTTCCATATGACAGAGTTGCTAGAGGGAAGTTGAGAGCACTTGACATGATTTATGGCAAGTGGGATGAAAATTATGATTTATTGCCTACTTATCAAGCTGAACTTCTGAGATCAGTACCTGGTAGTGTTGTGGAGCTAGAGACTAAAGAGCACAATGGTGATGTGTGTTTTTTTAGGTTCTTTATTGCTCTTAAACCATGCATAGATGGCTTCTTGCAAGGGTGTAGACCATATATTACAATGAATGCAACACACTTGTTCCCAGTAGCATATGGAGTGATTGAGACCGAGTCTAATGAAAGTTGGACTTGGTTTGTCAATAATGTGAAGAAGGCTATCGGTACTCCTCCAGGTATATGCATTCCCTAGTTCTAACTCTATTTTGTAAATTTTAAGTTTGTAATATTTTATGACAGTTCAATGTTCATACAGGCTTGGTCCTTAGCACAGATGCTGGAAAGAGAATAGAATTGGCTGTGGCAGATGTGTATCCTGGAGTAGAGCATAGAGAATGTATGAGGCACTTGTGGAAGAACATAAAGAAAAGTTACAGTGGTGATCTTTATGGCAAGAATATGTGGTGTGCTGCCAAGAGCTTCATAATTTCGAAGTTCAACTACTTCATTGAGAAAATAGAGGAGAAGGATCCTAAAGCCATTGAATGGTTGGATGAAAACCATCCATATGTATGGAGTAGAAGCAAATTCAGTGAAGACTGTAAGGTAGATTACATCAATAACAACCTATCTGAGTCTTTTAATAGTTGGATGTCAAAAACTAAGAACTTCTAGATTGTAGAAATACTTGACCATATTAGACAAATGATCATTGAGAAGTTTGTTTTGAGGTCAAGAGTGGTAGTAATATGTCAGGCATTATAATCCCAGCTATTATCAATGATTTGAAGGCTAAAACGAAGACTATCAAAGACCACGAGGTTCTAGTATGTGGGCCTGGGAAAGCTGAAGTAACTGTGAATAGATTCAGGCATGCAGTCAACTTGGAGGAAAAGACTTGTAGCTGTTGGGCTTGGCAAGTGATTGGAAAACCATGCAGCCATGCTTTGACTTTCATTGCAAAGATCAGTAGGGAGGTACAAATGGATGAATTTGTCCATGAATACTTCTCTGTTGATAGGTACCGAAAGACATATGCAAGTAAATTTAATCCAATGACATCCAAAGATTAATGGTCCATGTTGACTTAGGCTACAAAATCAACAAACCCAAATTGAGGAGGAAACCTGGGAGGCCAAGAAAATATAGGATCAAGCCATTTGATGAAGTTGGCACTAGCAAGAAAAGAAAGGTGTGTTCGGAATGCAATGAACTAGGCCATACATCCAAGACTTGCCAAAGAGGTCCTACAACTAGTCAAAAGAGGAGACAGTCAACACCACAAGATGGATCAAGACAAGGAAGCAATGACCCAATATGCGTCATACATGCATTGCTGTCCAATTCCATTTGTTTAGCCCAATTATGTATATTTACTTGTACTAACAATTCTTCGAACGAACATTTAGTGCAAGTACAAGTGCTAGCGCAAGTGTTACTGTAACAGGAAGGAGAAGGGGAAGGGGAAGGGGAAGAGGAAGGGGTTCAGCAGAGGACAACAATGAGACAATGTATGTGATTCATGGGTGCTGTTCGTTACTATTTTTTTAGCAAATTTCATCGTTGCCACCTATATTAACTTGCTTTTACTCTATTCTTGTTAAGTGCAAGTGGTAAAGGAAACGGAAGGGGAAGGGGAAAGGGAAGAGGAAGGGGAAAGGGAAAGGGAAGAGGAAGGGAAAGAGGGCCAGGAGAGGCCAACAATGAGACAAAGTAAGATATAGCACTTTTGCTTCTCTTTACTACATATTTTAGTAACTTTACTAATATAATTATGCTCTTTTTTCATACAAAGTGCAAGTGCTTCATGAAGAGGAACAGGAAGAAGCGGGACATGAGCAATTTCTAGGAGGCTTGCTACTTTGTTGGGTTTCAATGCTTGATATGTAGCTCGTCTAGGAAACTCACTACTAGTTCCTACTTTTGTTTCACATGTCATTTGGTGTTTCACATGTTATTTGGACCTCTATGTTGGTGTTTGACTTGTTATTTAGACCTCTATTTTATCATCTAATATGGTACTGTGATGGCATGTTATATGGATCTGGTTTGTTGCCATTAATGCAATATGTGTAAAATTAATTTGTTATGTGATATTAATTTCTGTTTATATGGATTGTCAGCAGAAATGACGTCGAATTTTTCTAAAAAAATCTATATACAAAATGTCAACTTGCTGATTAAAACTAGAGTAAAAACACAAATAGTATAATAAAACAGGGTAAAAACGCATGAGCAAAGTTGTTCTTTTGTCCAAAAGTTAACATCGTTACTTGGGCTTAACAGACCAGGGGTAGAGTCTCCCTTCATTTTAAAACAGTAGGGGTAAAATCACAAAGTTAAAAAAACAAGGGTAAAATTACTATTTCGCTTAAAAATGAGGGTATAAACGCTTAAGCCCCTTAAAATTAATATGTTCTAAATTTTGTACGTGTGCTGTGCTCATAATTTTATGAATGCATTGAACTGTTTATTCATGGTATATGCTATGGAAGGTTCTCTCGTAAAAATAGGCTCGTGTGAGTACGAATGTACGATCATTTATACCGGTGGGTCCGTGGGTGAGTAATTTTTGGTGCAGGCCTTTCAGAAACGGCTCAAAATTAGCTTACAAGATCACATTTCGGCCCATCTTGCATAGTGGGCCAGAAGAATATCCCCATTCGGGCGGTCAGGGGCGCACTACTTCCACACGCCTTTCCTCCTCTGCCGGCGAGTCACCGCCGACGCCTAGCCATGTCCACTGAGCCCACCTCTCCGCCTCAACCGACGGCGCAGGTCCGCGGGAGCCTCATCCCGGCGCTTCCAGACGACTTGGCCGTCCACTGCATCGCGCTCCTGCCGCGCGCCGCGCACCCATCCCTGGCTCTCGTCTCCCGCACGTTCCACGCCCTCCTGTGCCGCCACCCGGAGCCCCTCCTCGCCGCGCGCCGCGCCCTCCGCCGCTCCGAGCCCCACATCCTCCTCTCCCTCCGCCCACCCTCCTCTGCGTCCCCTCTCTTCTTCCTCCTGCTCCCGCACCCCGGGTGGCCCCCTCTCCCGCTCCCCTCCCCTCCGATCCCCGTCTCGTCCTCCGCGTCCGCCGCCACCGACGGGAACCGGCTCTTCCTCGTCGGCGGATCCGTATCCGCGGTCCCCGCTGCGTCCGTGCAGATACTGGATCCTCGTGCCAGATCCTGGTCCGTCGGCCCGCGCCTGTCCTCTACGCGGGAGTTCGCCGCGGCCGTTGCACACTCCGGGGCGCTGTTCGTCGCCGGCGGCTGCGTCCCCTCGTCCCCCTTTTGGGCCGAGGCTCTCGACCTCTCCACCCCGCACGCCAAGTGGAGAGCTGTCGCCAGCCCGGCCCACCTCCGCGAGAAGTGGATGCACGGCTGCGCGTCGCTCGCCGGGAAGGTCCTTGCGGTGGCGGACCGTGGCGGCTTGGCATACGATCCTGCGGCGCCACCTGCGGAGGCGTGGGCGCTGGTGTCGCCGGTGCTTGACATGGGATGGAAGGGCCGAGCTGCGGTGGTTGAAGGAATCCTCTACTCTTACGATTACCTGGGGCAGGTCAAGGGCTATGATCCGGACACTGATTCGTGGAGCACAGTGGAGGGGTTGGAGAGGGAGCTACCAAAGTTCTTGTGCGGCGCCACACTTGCCAATGTTGGAGGACTGCTCTACTTGGTTTGGGAAGGGAAGTGGAAAGGGAAAGGGAAAGGTAAGATGGAAGTGAGGAGCATGGTGGTGACTGAATGGGCCAGCATTCAGATTACAAGGGTTGATAAGGGACGGCTAAGAGGAAAGGTGGTCTCTCAGGACACTGTTCTGTTCCCGGATGTGCCAAGAGGTTCAACGATCACACATTGCATTGCATTGGAGTTGTGATGCAGTAGATGCAGATGTAAAGCAGGTAAAATGCATGATTTTGAGAGGTATAATATGGTTTTTCTCCTTGCTATAAGCTCCTTTGATCGAGTTCTATGCCTGTTTGATTGGGTTGAACAAATTAACTAACTGGTAATTGCCATTTTTTTTTTCTTGTTTGCAGTTGCAGATATCACCGTGGGTAGTGTCACCTGTGATTAATGCTTCTACTAGAGGTATGAACTATTCCTGTTTTCATAAGGACCAGATTAGAGGTTCAGTAGGTTGCTAAGGGATAAGTTGCTGTGTTAAATCTATATATTGGACTGATGATATTTATGTTTGGAACTGAGCTAGTATTTTTATTCATTTTGGATTCTTCAATGACTGGATCACAGAGTCATTGATGAACGACCTGTCTTCCTCAGCATTGTTTATACTATTATTTTGTCCGCATTTTATGCTGTAAGTTCATGTTGAATCTTAACTTCTGTTGTTTCGTGAATTCACTAGTGTTCTTTTTCATAATCAGGGATTTCATAAAGTTGATCCAGATAGATGGGAATGGGCTCATGAAGGTTTTGTCAAGGGCCAAAAACATCTTCTGAAGACCATCAAGAGAAAGAAGAAATCATCTCAGGATGCACATAGTGATCTGCAGCCAGCCCCTGGCAAAACTGCACCTGGCACTGAGTGAGGTTGAGACACTACAAGACTTAAGAGGTACAAGGCCATTCTAATGCAGGACTGTCAGATGGAAGCACAACAGAACTGCAAAAGTCCTCAATATGGTACATACTAATTGACGTATACCTCATTCACTTCTCTTTTTTGCACAAAGCATGCATATGTAATTTTATTTTGTTGTTGAATTTATGTGCCTAGTTGCCTGTCTCTGAAGGCAGAGGGAAAACTATGCATCTGATGTCCATTAGTACTGATCAGGTTGAGGTCAGTCATACTAGGAATTTGCAAAACCAGAAGACTTTCTGGGTCATATTTCTGTTGTTGTTTGGTCACTTGCCAGGGTGCGTGGGTTTTCATTCCATTTATTTTGGTAGAACCATTACACAGAAGCAGGTAAATGATGCTATTTCACTAAACCAAAGCATTGAGCAGTCAGTTCCTTCCACAGCTAGGCCTATAGTTCAGGATTAGTTTCATCAGACACAAAACAGTAGGAAAGGGGCTTGTTCTGTTTTGGTTTACAATATATATGTTTATACTCCCTCCGTTTCAAAGTAGTGTTTTTTTTTGCAATTTATCTTTGTCTGGAACATATTCCTTTCTTTGACACTGAGTAAATAAGCTCACCTTATGTTGTATAATAAAAACTGAAAAAGGGATAAGTAATTGAGCATTTCTTGTCAGTACGTAACTACCAGCCTGTTCACTTGTTGGATTTTGCCAGGACTTATCAGCCAGTCATAACACAAGCATTGATCATGTTGTATATAATGTTGTATTGGATGAGCATGGAGCAATTTTGAATATTTCTTTGCGTACAAATCATATTTAAGCGAAAGTGGTCTACTTCCAACAAACCAACGCAAAACCGCCAGCGCGGGGCTCCGCTCGCTGCCTCGCCGCCGCAGTTTCGACCACAGTTTTTTCGCGCGCAAGTGCAAGTGCCTCGTTTAGTTGGCCACCGAATCGGCGCCGCCGGATTCGGCGTGCTACTGTAGCTACTGTAGCGTTTTGTTTTTATTTGGTAATAATTGTCTAATTGTTGACTAATTAGGCTTCAAAACGTTTGTCTCGCAAAGTACAATCCAAACTGTGCAATTAGTTTTTAATTTCGTCAACATGTAGTATTCAATGCATATACCGTAAATTTGATGTGACGGAGATTTTTTTTTTTTTTTTTGTATAGCGCCAAATTTAGGAATTAGGATAAACTAAACACCCCCGGCCGAACAGGCTGACAAGCCGCCTGTTGGATGTTGCGTCACGAGTCACGACCTCTGATCGCCTGCGCGCCGCAACTACGTGGTCCTAGCTGTTGCGCAGCTGTGGTGGCAGAGTGGCACACAGGAAGCTCTTTTCTCTCTCTCGATTATGGCACACAGGAAGCTCGATCGATCCACACCAATCCGGCTGCCACATTCCGCGTCTCTCTGTGTACCTACTACTACGAGTGCTGTAGTAGAAAACAAGAAGCCAAAGATCTTGTTTAGATTGTAAGTTTTTTCACTCTTTTCATCACATTAAATCTTTGAACATATACATAAAATATTAAATATAGATAAAAAATAACTAATTATACAATTTAATTTTAAATTACGAAACGAATCTTTTAAATCTAATTAGACTATAATTAAACAATAATTATCAAATACAAACGAAAGTACTATGATACCGACTACTGATTCCTAAACATCATTAAACAAGGCCCAAGCCGAAGCCGCACGCTGTTTCCTTCCTTTTCCCGCAGTCCGGATCCAGGCCACGGCCCACGGCGCTCGCCAAACTAGCCGCCGGGCCCCACGCCCCCACCACACCGACCGCGGCTGCTGCGCGCCGCGTGGGCGTGTCCGCTTGCACGACCACGACCCAGCGTCGTACGGCTCTCAATCCGCCCCGACTGACCGCTCGCTATTTCCTTCCCCACTCTTCCTCTTCCTTCCACCGTCGCGGAGGAAGACAAGCGACACGCGCGCAGAAGCAAAGCACCTGCTCGGGCTCGATTCGGGAGGTTCAGGAGGGAAGCTTTTCGACCGGCCGGCGACATGGCGGAGGAGAAGGGCGCGCTGCAGTCGGCGAGGGAGTGGGTCGTAGAGCACAAGCTCCGGGCCGTCGGTACTACAAGTCTTAATTTCCAGATCCTCTCTTCTCCTCCTGCGCGGCTGTGCCGACGTTCTCGCGGTGGAATGGAAATGGAATTGATGCCTTTGTTGGTTCGCTTGCGCTTGCAGGGACGCTGTGGCTCAGCGGCATCGTCGGCTCCATCGCCTACAACTGGTCCAGGCCGGGCATGAAGACCAGCGTCAAGATCATCCACGCCAGGTCCCTACCTTGCTCTTCTTCTAACCACCTGCACTTGCCTTCTCTGCCTGCCTGCTGCTACAGTACTAGTACAAGATGTTTTTTTAAGTGTCTGTGTGTGGTAGGTGGGGATGAAGCAAGACTGTACTCCGTACTCCTTAGTCCTTACTCGAGTCTGCCTGGATTACACAGCCGTCTGTTGTTTAGGTTTTAGCCAGAATGCCAGATTAAGATAGCTTCAGGCATCGATCGGTTCAACATGTTCTAATGTTATATGTTGGTGGATGGCCTAATTTCCTTAATGAAAAGAACATTCGCTATTCCGATTATGGTCTAGGTTTGGGCCAGGTAAAATGTACTAGCTGCGAAAAACATCGATTGGTTCGACATCTGTTGCTCAACACCTCACCTCCTTAATCCAAAAGGACAAAGGCGGTGGTTCCTCTTGCCCTACTATATCTTACTTGTTCTACTACTTGGTTTGTTTGCATCACATAAAACTGTCTCTTTAGTCGTTACTGTGATACTACATGTGTTACACATTTGGTATATTCCAACCACTTCAAATTTGTACTCAGATGCTCTACCAAACATCCCAGCAAGTGAATGCGGTGTTTAAATCACATTAGGCCACGCGTCTTGCTTCAATTAAGGGACCGTTTGGCTGGTCGAAACGTTCTAGATTCTATCCAGAAACGCCAGAATCACTTCCAAACGGGAAAAAAGGCGAAACGTTTCTGTCTAGAAACAGCTGAAATCCTTCTCACTTTTTTTTTGCCTATGCACGTGAAATGGCCTGGGAGTGGTTTTGCCTGATTTTGTTTCTTGCTTCCCCTGTGCACTAGCAGTCATATTTTTTTAGTTAATCCATTTTAAATGTAACAAGTTAAAATGGATTGTATTTAAGTTGTTCTTCACCCACAAAAAAATCTCATTTTTTGAAGGGTATTTTCATTTATATGATTTTTTATGAAAAAAACAATTCTTTCTGAATCAAAATCCAGCCTACTAACCAAACGATTCCACGAAGTGATTCTTATTATTCACCATTTGAAACATTTCCTGAAACAATCTAGATTCAAAACGTTTCTACGAGAATCTAGATTCCTACCAAATGCACCCTAAGTTGTATGCAAACTACTACATACCAAGCATATTCATTAAGTTGGTAGTTGTATGATTTTTTACTTCAATAGAAGAGGTAGAGAATTACACTGTCCTGCTTTTATCTGGTATGCATTTGAGGGCATTGGTAAGGAGCTAGTAGATCAGAAGGCCAGAAGGGTGTTGAAACAAAACTTTCCTGATTGTGCTGCTATCTATGTCCAATTTATCCACTATTACTTCAGAATATAGGAGCCTTCCAAAACAAATAGGCGTACGTGTAGTCTTAGTATTTCTTGGAGCAAACTCTGGGGGAATAATTTCTCTTTGCATTTCTGATATTTGACGGTTCATGAATACTACTTTCCCAGTGTATGCCATTCTAAACTTTGCCAGAATGATGCCTCTCTAAACGTGTACTTAACATTGTAGGATTGCGGATGTGGTGGTATAGAATTCATGTGTTTTCTCGGGTAAAAAAAAAGTATTCCTTTGTGTTGAATAGACCAAGCAGGTGATACAACATGTGTTGAATAAACTTTGTGCCTCTCTGCTTCAGGAAACTGTAGCTTCTCAGAAATTAGCAGTTAATGGTAGCAGATTGTGTTGCACAGAAAGCTTTGCTCTTTTCCATCATTGAGGATTAACTGGTATCAGCATTAGGCATAGATAATCAGTGTAGAATGCAGAAGAAGGCCGGTGGAGGGTGGTACAGGCTAGTTAGATTTTGGATACATATTCACTGAACCTATTGTAATGGCTACTTTTAGGGGTTTCCCTGAATAATGCCATGGATATGTTAATCTTTTGGATATTTCCCCACTGGCTATTCACTGAACCGATAAATTGCTTACTATTTCAGTTGCATTTAAATAAATTACCTTAATTGCATTAAAAAATATCAATTGTTAATCTTTTGGATATTTCCCCACCCACTAATGTATCTGCATATATAGACCAGCTTGACTTATTATTGTCGTCAACTGATGTCCCTTACATCAAGATGTTTTGTTGTGTCTGTTGTATTGTTTAATTATATACCCCTAGCAGCGATATCCATTTCTAATTGGTGCGCTGCTCTTATGCTAGCAATTTCAATTCCTTTTCTTAGAAAAAGCACTAGCATTTACCTTACATCTCCATCTTATATGCACTAATCCCGGTCGTCTTTGCTCATTCTGTGTACAGTATAATTTGACATGTACATGCTAGCAAGAAACTTAGAAAGTTTAAACGAGAATTCCCAACCTTCATGCTTGAATTTACTCCGACAAACGAATTGATGTATGCATCTATTGAAAGCTAAAGAATTTCCAGGCGATTGAATGAATATACTAACCCAAGGCAACCTAAATCTCAATTTCTTTGCAGGCTGCATGCTCAGGCTCTCACACTGGCTGCCTTGGCTGGGTCTGCCCTGGTGGAGTACTACGATCATCAACAAGGTTCAGGATCCAAAGTCCACCAATATGCAAAGCAGTTCCTATCATCTGATAGCAGTAGCAGCCCACAAAAGGAGTAGCTAGTGTTGGTGGGTCAGCCTGACCTTACGAAGTACCAGCAATGGAGTGAGTGTTATTTTCTGATCAAATGATTTTGCCTATGGCATTCCGTGGGAACTTAGGCGGAGCTTTGCCTGCTTTTCTATGTAATGTAAGCTGCTGAAACATGTGCACTTCAAATGCTGTTGTGGTATGCCGTATGCAGATGGTACCATGCGTGTGTTTCCCTGAATGTCTTGAAATGAAATAAATGTTTTTTTTTTCGGCCGCTCGGTATGCATCATCAGCCGTCACACCGATTTAGCTGTTTGTCTAAGTTGAGTTCAACAGAATGTTCTCTGTTTAGCTATTGGTATGAATACTCTCTTTTTTTTTCTTTATGGGAATTTGCAATTCTATTACTCGACCATGTCAGCTAAATTGCTTGACACCAAGTTTTGACGCCAAGTACGTGATACAATCTGGCACTCCGGCCAACACTGAAGGCTGAGCCTCCTGCATGATTCTCTTGGTTGCAAAGGACGAAGCTGGATTTTATTCCTTTATCTAAAAAACCCCTCAAGAGGAAAGAACTTCCATAAAACCAAACATAGAAAAAGAAATGTTAATCGGGTGGGCCATTTCAATCAGTTAAACGTAGCCGAACCCAAAGAATGCAACAAGAAAGCCCAACTAAATACGAGTGCTGCTCCATTCTCTACTGGGCCCGAGCGAATCATCATCAGAACGCAACGGCCCAATACCAGCACAACCAAATCACTCCGCTCCATTAAACCGGCCCGCCAGCTCGCCGCTCTCGAATGGGAGCCCACGTAGCTTCTATATATGTCGACAGCCGCATCGGCACCCTCTCTCGTCTCGGAAAACCCTAGCCGCCACACCTCACGACCCACTCGAGCACCAAGCCGAGGGAAGGAGGGGAGGGGCGATGGCGCGCGGCGTGGTGGCGGCGAAGGGCGGCGCGGCCGCGGGCAAGAAGAAGGGGTCGGTCGCCTTCACGATCGATTGCACCAAGCCCGTGGAGGACAAGATCATGGAGATCGCCTCGCTCGAGAAGTTCCTGCAGGAGCGCATCAAGGTCGCCGGCGGCAAGGCCGGCAGCCTCGGCGACTCCGTCACTATCTCCCGCGAGAAGACCAAGGTCACTGTCACCTCCGAAGGGCCCTTCTCCAAGAGGTATACCACGCTGAACGTGCTTGCGTACTGTTACTGTCTGCCACTAAAAGTCGTGAATATGCTTGTGTAGATCTGTGTAGTTTCTGCTGTGTATGTTCATGATATTGCTAGGTTGTAGAAACTTGGGTTAGCCTATTTTCCAGTTCAATTATGTGGTTCACTTGATTTTTGTGATGGAGTAATTTCGCTTATTACTAATTAGCAGTAAGCTTTTGTGCATATAGTTCTGTCAATGTAGGTTGTAGAAACTTGGGTTGGCCTATTTTCCAGTTCAATTATGTGGTTCACTTGATTTTTGTGATGAGGAGTAATTTCGCTTATTACTAATTAGCAGTAAGCTTCTGTGCACATAGTTCTGTCAATGTGGACGCCCAAAGGTTTGGTATAGCCTATCTTTAACCCTGTGTGATTTCAAATGGAAATGGTTGTTCTTTTGCTAATTTTAGCATATATCTGTGGTTCTTTTATGCACTTTTGTTGATTGAAAAACAGCTATTTAAAATTTCGGTTTACTCCCTCTGTCCCAAAAAAATAATGCAATTCTCACTTTCCAAGAAGTCAATCGATTTCAAGTTGGACTAAGTTTATAAAAATAACATCAATATTTATGTCTCCAGATAGGTTTTCTATGAAAAATGAATTCCATAATCTATTAATACTTATTTGGTATCATATATGTTAGTGTTTTTTTTATAGATTTGGTCAAACTTGAAATTGGTTTACTTCTTGTGAAGTGACAATCGCACTCTTTTGGGACCGAGGGATTTGCAGGTGTTTGATATGCTTATATGACATCATTATTTAGCAAGAATGCTCAGCTAGCAAATTTATGGACTTAGGCCCTGTTTGGATCCATTAGATGCTAATAGTTTGCTAGTTAATAGTTCATAGCTAATATTAGCTGCTATTAGCTAGTTTGATCCAACTAGTGAAATATTTGTTAGTTGGGTATTCAGCTATCAATTAGCTAGACCTGTTTGGATACAAAAGGGCGTACCCAGTGCAGAGAGCTCCCGCTCTGTGCGGGGTCTGGGGAAGGGTATTAGTGGCAAGCCTTACCCTCGCCTGTGCAATGCGAGGAGACCGCGACTCGAACCCGGGACATTCCGGTCACAGGCGGTAAGACTCTGCCGCTGGCACCAGGCCCGCCCTTCACCTGTTTGGATACAAGAAGCTAATTATTAGCAGCTAACTATTAGTTCTATGGATCCAAACAGGTCCATTAAATCCTTTTCTGTTTACCCTTAACTGAAGCATACACTTGATGGAACAAACAAAAGTTATTTGCTGTTTCTTACCATATAATATAATATAGCATACTTAATTTGATCAGTTTAGTCTGATGGTATCATTATCCATTGTCACCAGGTACCTGAAGTACTTGACCAAGAAGTACTTGAAGAAGCACAACGTGCGGGATTGGCTACGCGTGATTGCAGCCAACAAGGACCGCAGCGTCTATGAGCTCCGATACTTCAACATCGCCGAGAATGAGGGCGAGGAAGAAGATTAGAATGCATTACACTTATATCTTAGTTTTGAACTCATTGAATTTTGATACTTGTACCTGTAGTTTTGCAACTGTCCTCATGTTATGCTGTGGTGAGTTTTGGATGGTTAATTTGAAGAATCCTTACATTTGGCTGCCTCAACATCAGAGTGCCCTACTCAGTCTGCACAAGTTATGTTTTGACTTGTGAACAGAGAAATGTAACGTGCAGGATTTCTTGCATTTCTTATTTCTTAATAGTTTTATACTCTGATTGGGGCCAAAGGTGATTTTCATTGCTGGTGGTGTGAAATTTGTGACCAGTACTTGAATTCTTGTTGCCTTCTCACTGCTGGTCTGAATCTGGATGTACTTGACATCAACGAGAGTAATTTATAACTGTGAGTATGCAATTATGCATTATCGAAGTGCTTGCTTGTATTCTTTGCAAGCCACGAGAGTTGCTGATTATTTTGACCCGCTTTCGTTTCTTGTACGTCAGGCAAATTTGGTGTTCTCAGGCTCAATGTTGAGGTATTATAGGCATCTTATGGTTTGTAGTAGAAAGGTTTAGTGTACTCCAAAACAGCAAAATTGAATACTGTAAACCTATCTTTTTGTTTAGAGCACGGGGGGAGTCTCCCGGATAATTTTAAGGATAAACTTGGTCAGTTCAGAGCTATTGATTCAGCAAAATAGGACACTCTAGGCTGCAAACAAATTGAAGAATATGAAGTCATGAGCAAGGAAGGATCATCCAGGCCTTCGTAAGTTTGTCAGTCTTTGGACAAGGCTACGCCAAGTGCAGCTAACTGAAACTGCAGACACCATTGCATGGGGATTCAGCACAGATGGACTGTACCGAGTTGTTTGGCTGATGGTTTCTGCGGCTGATAAGCTGGCTGAAGCTGATTTGTTATGATAGAACAGGCGATAAGTTCAAACGAACGGGGCCTACATTAGCAGTTCAGCTCATAGAGCAACTCACAAGTAACAACTCACAAGCACCTATGCCGATCAGTTACTGAGTGTCGATTCTTCTCTTATAGCTGCAACTGCAAAGGAAGGTATGCACTTTGAGACCACCAGGAACCAAGCATCAATACAAGATATATATACATCACATTACATCTCAAGACTAGAAAGAGCAAACTGGGAAGTGTTAAAGGTCACAATTACATCAATACAACATGTATAGACATCACATAACATCAATATGAGATACTCCGAGACATCCTATCCTATATTAAAACGGTAATACTACTATTAAGACATCCGGAAGGCCGGACGTCTCGCTCCACTCACTGCCGCATGCGTCGTTTGCCTAAAAAAACTAACATAAACTCCCGCACGTCTTGCTCCGCTCCTACCCTTACCCCTTCCGCGCTCCTCATCTCCTGCCGCAGCATACCAACGCCCGGTGTCCTCCGCCACCGGGAGCCCCCAACACTCGCAGGTCCGGTGCCCCTCTCCCCCACACCGGCGAGATCCATGGAGCAGGAGCGAGATCCATGGAGGTGGTGCGGTGATGTTGCAAGGGAGTGGGCGGCTCTCCACCATCCCGCGCGCGTGTGCCCTCCCCACCCCGGCGGCGCCCTCTCTCACTCTGGTGACCGAGCTTCCCCCATCCTGGCGGCCATGGCGTTCCTCGCCCCCATCCCCTAGCGTCGTCGCCGAGCCAAGCTCGGTACTGGTGGCGGTGGTGCTCGTGCGCCGCTACTGGCTCTGGCTCTGACCCTGAGGTTGGAATCGATCGGCCCAAGCTTCTCTTCCCCTATGTTGCAAATGTATGTTCAGGTCTTTCAGTCGTTTCAAAAGTATGTTGCAGTTATTTCTTATGGACGTTGCAAAAGTAGATCGGGGAATGTTGCATATGTTGCAAATGTTTCAGAAGCATATCGTAAGCATTTGTTCAAAATGTTTCATTTGTTTCCTGACATATGTTGCAATCGTTTTTTATTTGGATGTTGCATATGTTTTCACACGTGTTGCAACAGTATGTTCCAAATGTTTCAGTTGTTTCAGTCTTATGTTGAAGTAAGTGTTTTTTTTTCATGTTGCAACTGCTTTATATGGATGTTGCATATGTTTCACATACATGTTGCAAGCATATATCCCAAATGTTTCGTCTGTTTTAAATGTATGTTGCATTTGAGTGTTTCACGTTGCAAGTGCAGACCGCCGGCGTTGGTGTTCATTAGGGCGGGCAGGGCCAAGCTGCGGTCACCGATACGTGGAGGAGACGCAGGCCGCCGCCGCCGGTGTGGGAGGAGGCACAGGCCGCACGGTGTTGTTGTGAAAGAGGTGGGGGCGAGTTTTCAGGGCGGCCTGGAAGAGATGGGCGCTGTGCCGGTG